GGACTAACAGCAGTCAAAAGAGATTGGCTTTCAAGATTTGGTCACTTCCTTTCAATATTCTTGAGAAATAGAGTAAAGGATTAAATACAAACGTTAGTCCTCTGTCAACAAAAAGAAGGTTTCTCTGAACTAAATCTCAACGTAACATTTATTTCAAAAAACATCCATCCACCAGTGTAAATCCAAAATAAAAGAAAATAAATGTTTCTAAAATTTAATGGTATTGCTATAAACACAGTATCAGAAAATAGATCTGGGAGCTCCTGGCAAGATACCAAAGTGTTCATTGTTGTAAGGCAGAGAGAATGACTCTAATTTGCTCTACTTGACAAGTACAGTGAGGGGCTAATGATAATGATAATGATTTTAATAATAACTACCATTTCCTGAGCACCTGAGAAATTATAAATATGTGAGATTATTTCTTTTACTCCTCACAACTCTGTGATGGTAGCAGTAACATGATTAGCCACATTTTAAAGACCATAAAGAACACATGGACATCTTAACTGACCTAGTCAAAGGGGGCAAGTTCCCGGGGTTGGGACTTTGTGTAGAACATGCTCTTACAGCTATTAGGCACTGCTGCCCATTCACTGTCTGTCAGGACTGAGGATGTATTCAAGATGTGTGTCAGTTATTATCCGTTTATCTAAAGGAGACAAATGTGCTCATTTTGAATTGGTTTATGACACTGACACTTCAGAGAGAAAACGTGGAACACGGGAAAAATCTCATCAATACATGGTGTTTCTGGAATATCACTCCATTCCATGCTATTTCTTTCTTGTAGTTAGTCGCTATGAGAAGTTAGAAAATATTTCCCTTCTAATTGATCAAAAGCAATTATATTCTTCACACCCACTTCATAACGGGAGATTACTTGTAATTTCTATAAACTACTATCTCTGAATGTCTCAAATTTTGCTCCTGACCATCAACTCCTGGTGATCTGCATGCTATTTTGTATTTAAAGACACTTGGTTTGATACTAGACATGGTTTTCCCATAAAGGCACATGGTAGCCACTGGCTACACTTAGTCACATTCTTCTCTGGTCAAATATTTTGAGGCCAGTAGGGACCAACACATGATCTCTTATTTTTTTTCTTTTACTTTCTTTAGTACATCTTTGAGCTCCATAGTGAATACATTCACCATGGGGATTATATATATGTTTAATCCTTTTTACTTTCCTTTTCCTTCTGCTCCTTCCCTTTTTCCTGCCTCCCTGGCACATGGCTTTGTGAGTATATATATATATATATATATATATATATATATATATATATATTCTTTCCAAATAATATTTTATTCTTCTGGGATTTTTATACACAATTAAGATAAAATGAGTTCTTAAAAAAAACTCTAGAGAATCAAAAGTTGGTGGTTGAATATTACACACTAATATGTGTATACTGATTGCCTTTCTAATCATTGTTAAACCTACATTATTAACAATATATGTTGCAGTGGTTTTTCTTCCTTCCTTTTTTTTTTTTTTTTTTGATTTTGAAGGAAGAGTTGGGCATGTTCTGGAATAAAAGATTCTATTTTATAATAATGCAACCTAACTTCCAGTTACTACCTAACACATCCTTGGATACGGCAGTCAGTCATATTGAATTTTCTAAGGCAACACTGATTTTTACTTTGCTCTCCTTTTGATGTAAGAGTGGGTCAAATTTAATAGAACTAACAGGTATTTTCACAATTTCAACATGATTAGCTACACTGTATGTGTAGCTATAGGTGAATTATTTGTATAAAGCCAATAAAGAAAATATTCTCCTGAATAATTCTCCTGAAAATGTAAATCTATAGTCTGTTTCAAAAATTCAATTCCAATTATTAATTTTTCTATCTTTCTAATGCTTTGGATATTTTTGCCAATAACTGCCTTTTAATTGCATTTTAATACAAGTGGTACTGAAGTTATTTCTATATGTTTCATTTTTATTTTCTTCTGAGTGTGTCTAATTCTTTTGTACAGATGTATGTATTAACAACACTCAATTTAAATTTTAGTATTCGTTATGTTCATGAGAAAATGCTCTTTCTGTTAGTAGTAATCAGAATTAGCTGCAAGCAAAATCTTACACAAAGAACTCTTCAGAACTTAAAAGAACATGTTACACACCTTTTGAAAAGTTGGTGGCCATAGGGATGACAAAATTGTTTATTTTATTAAGCCAACAATTAAATCATTATAAGAGTAATATAACTATTCTGCATTGGCTTAAAATAGTTTTAAAATATTCAAGTTTTTCATGGTAAATATTTGAAGTAGTTGTAATATACAAAGTAAATGAGAAGTGTGGTGTAAAGTGGATTAACTTTCAACATCCAGAAATGAGATTGAATCCACCATATATTCATTATCTCACTCTTGGCTCAGTTAAATGATTTCATTCAGCTTCCATCTCCTTCTCTCTAAAATGGAAGTAAACAATGCTGTCATTTTGTCCTGATGTTTCTATAATAATACTTGCAGGGTTATTATTTAACTGTTATATATTTAGAAGGCATTCAAGATATGCTGGATACTGCCTTTTGCATTGTCTTTTATTTAAAATACTACATATAAACTTACTTGAAGTAAGTTGCATGAAGTTTTCATAGTTACTTTTCCTTAAATTTCCAACTCCCTTACTCCAAGTGAGGTTGTCCTATAAGATATTTTCTGATCTTGGGGAAGAAATAAATCCATGAACAAGGGAATCAATACAGAACCTAGAAGTATGGTGGCATCTGAGGAAAATAGAATAAATTGTAAAAAAGTAAGAAGAGGCAAGTGCTACTTAAAATGAGTAGCTACCAATTTTCAATTGTGCACAAGATATTCCCCATTCCCTTATCAGCCTGGGTGATGCAAATTAAGCCAACTATAGCCATGGTACAATTTCTTTAAAAACTTTAGTTAGATTTTTTTGAGTAAGTTTAGTTAATGTTGGTTCCTCTTCTTTACCAAGTTTATTTACAAGAAGAAAAAAAGAAAAACAAGAAGACAAAGACCCAATGATAATCATTATAATCAACACAATCTTCATGTAGTTACCATGGAATCCGCCGAGGAACGATCTTTCAACATCACAATTGATTTGCTGTATCCATGTACCAAGTCCCACAAGGAACATGATCATTATGAACCACAAACATGTACAAAATAGAAATTTCTAGGTGACGGCGTACAAGAGATGGAAAGACTGAAAGGGAGAAGAGAGGAAGGGGTAACAAAAAATACCAACTCCCCATGCTAAGTGTAATCATATGTACTACAAATATATACCAAGAAACAAAAAAATAGAGAGAAAGAAAAAAAGAAAGATTGATGATTTCAAAAGAAAGAGAGAAAAAATAAAGTCCTACTGCAAAAGATGTAGAAAAATGTCTCCAGGGTTTGGCTGGATACATACAACCAGCAGTTACACCTCATTGCCTATGAGTCTTGCAAATATTTTATCCCTGTGTAAGAAGCAATAACATCAACTTCAGCCTGAAAAGCTCTCCAGGGAACTTCAGAAAGATAGCTAATATAAACAGTGTTCTAACATCTTTGCAAAATGTCCCATATCAAGATACCTACAGATGAAGGTGTAGTCAATATTTCAAGAAATGTGAGTGCTCCCTCTATAAAGATACTTTTAAGATACCATTAGAAATATTTACACAAAGGCAGCTACAAATTTACCCTCTGCATTAATGTTACCGAATAATTATGAAATTCAACTTGTGAAAGTTTTATAACACTGTCTGATTAAAATTTAAATGATGATTAAAGTAAGAAAATAAATTTATAGTAAAAGACCTACATAGTAAAAAGGTAAGAAGTTGCTATTCTTCCTATACAAAAAGCAATAATCAACAGATCATATATCATTATAGAGATGGAATGTTTTTACTTTTCTTGGTTACTTAGTAACTTACTATAATGTAGAATAAAACCATGAGACTATATTCACATGTGCAAATTAAAAGTTTCAGAGAACTAAAAAGAAAAGAAAAAGTTGAGATACCAAAATCTAACTTTGAGGAAAAAGTTTCTTTCATTATCTCTCTAGATATTTTTTTAAAAATCTTATGAGAAAAATGGATATAGAAGAAATATTATCAACAAGTTTATGAGAAAAATGTTCATAGAAGAGATAATATGAATTAGTTTATCTAGAGAGAAAATTGCTATAAACTATTACTAAACATAAGCCTTATCTGAATTCACTGTTAATTGATGATAAAAATACACATCAAATGAAAAACACCCTAAAGTAAAATTTAAACAAACATATAACCTTAATCTCTTTATAAACTTTATCATTTCAAAAATAGCCACTTCAGAAAGCAGTTATTTTTTTCTTTATTATTTCATTTATCAATCTATCTTATGAAAGCACTCCATTCTTTTGCATGAAAACTATCAATTATATTAATGGAATATTAAATTTTCTAGATTCACTTTCTTACCAATTTCATCAGAAACTATAATATTTACATTTTAGTTCCACAATGAACAGTGATAGAATATCATGGATTTAGTCCAAATTCCTTAGATCTAAAGAGAGCTCAGGACCATTGCTAAAGTAAAAAGCGGCAGGAAGTCTCACCTCTCATTAGCAAATTTTCTTACCATCCAGTTTAACTTTGAAGTTGTCAGCCTCAGATTTTATCATGCAATATCAACAAATCACTTCATGGAAAATCTATAGCAATGCACAGTCCTCTCAACAGTTTATTACAAAGGCAAAATGAGAAACTAGCTCTCTCTTCATAGTTCCTTTTCTATTCTTTTGATGTAAGGCAGAACTGTTCTGTTTCAAAATAATTGCTCTGAGATGTCATTATCCACAAATGCCAGGTCTCATTCTAGGACACTTGCTGATAAAGTAAGCCTTTTCCTGACATAAACAGTCAGTTGCTGCAGTGCAGAATGCCAGATTAGTCAGTTAGAACTTTCAATGCAGAAATTCAGCGCGATGCAGTCACCCACATAAAGCAGCACTTACCTTAATTGAAATATGTTCTGTGAACGAGGTGAGAAATCCGTCAAATCAACCGTGAATGGGGTGGGGAGATCGAAGTTTTCAATCAACACCCTCCAAGCGGCGGCGGCGGCGGGGTGCTGTCCCCCTTTTCTCTGTTTATGTTGAGCTCCTCGCTGTCTAAGGGGAGAGAAGAGATCAACTGAAATCCTCAGAGATTCCCAGTGAATGAGCACTCAGCGCTGTTTCTGAGCGGAGATTGTCCGCCAGCCCGGCCGGCCGGAGCTGGCTGTCCGAGGCTCCCTAACTGCTGTGATGGACTGCTGTCTGTCCTGGGGCCGCCCTGCTCATTGACCTGATTAGCAAGGAGGGCTCCCTACCCAGAGGCTCACACGCATGGTCCTGGTGGGTCTCCTGGGAACTAGAAAGGAACCCAGGCCACTTGGGAATTTGGTTTTTCCCAGCCTAAAGGGGGAAGGCAACTATTTGTATAATTTGCAAGATTAGCCACTGTGTTAGCCATTTCATGACTTAAACAAATGTCCTTTCCCCTGCCGTTTTTCAAGATGTGTTCGTGTTGGTTGTAAGGATCAGCGAACACATAGAGAGCTGATTTGTCAGACAAGTCTAAAACTGACAACTGCTTAAGCAATGTGGTAAAAGAGCTGCACTGGACTTTTGCCTCTAGCTTACTACACATATTGAGTTCGTCTAAGTAAAATGGATTTAAAGATTTATTACCCCCCCACCTGAGTGTAACTCTCTGAATTTATAAAAAGGTAGTATTCATACTAAGTGAGTGTATTTGGCAATTATGAACAATCAGGAGCACTCAGATCTAAGCATGTACAACAGATCATTGCTTTTGGGGGTCTTCAAAGAGCATTTTCACTTAGTTGAACAAGTGCAAAGGTGTTTACATTGGGCTATTAACCTCAGTAAGGCAGAAGAGAGAAATATTTACAAGTCCTGAATCATCTATTATCTGTGGAAATATGTTTCACTTAATCAAAATAATCAAGGTTATGAAGGGTTCTAAGAATGCCAACCAACTTTCCGAATGTGGTCAGTGCCTTTATCTGCCTGCAGCTCCCAGCCCCTGACCCTGACCCCTTAGCAGCCGGCTGCTGAAGGTTTCACACCCAGAGTCCCGAGTCCCCCCAAGGCATCTAACTCCCTGAACAAAGGTCATGGAACTGAAAGGGGGAGCCCTCACGTGATTGATTTCTGACAGATCTCACTTATGCAGGAAAAAATTATGCAAATAGCAGAAAAAGAACAGATGAAAAAGTCATTTGTGGGTCTTGAGGGTGAGAAAATTCTCATCACCAGTGCCAACTGCCTGTCCTCTCCCAGTGACGCCGGGTGGTTTGTGCAGTCTTTCTCTTTCCCCAAGTAGGTCTCATGAGGGACATATGGCATCCCCTTGGGGCTGGGCAGGGTGTGTGTGTGCGTGTGTGTGTGTGTGTGTGTGTGTGTGTGTGTGTCTGACAGAGAGAGAACCTATATTAGCATTGCAGTATGTACATGTCACTTACCAAAAAAAATTAAATTAGGGAATACACAAAACAAACAATAACTTGTCTGTCTTATATACCCCAAGCAAACTTTTAAAAATAGTGATGAATTAAAATGCGAGCTCCTTGGTGGAACTTCTTGGGCAGAGTAAAACTCAGTGTAAATGAGTAGCTGGAAATAGCACAGATGCTCATATTCCAACTAAAAGCAGATGTGGCCTGCAGAAGCCCTGGAGGAGGGGCTGGCCTGCCTCCAGAGCCAAGGCCTCCTGCTCCCTCAGCTGGTGGAGGGCGAGAGCTGAAGGTGAAGGGATGATCAATATGCTTCTGGAGCAGAGAACAACTTTGCTGCTGTGAAGCAGGAAGCACATTATCCAATTATAGACTGGCGTTTAGAAAGCGCCAGTAGAAGAGAAGCAGCTTAAATCGAAACTGGTGCACCCTGCTCATAAATAGCAAGCAGGAAATAGAACTGCTCATTCCTTCTGAGGGGTCTCAACTGTGTCACACAGCATTTGTAATGAAAATTGCATGGATTTCATGCTTCTGCTAGGTAATGGCTCCTGCAATTAAACGTTTCTGTTTCGCAAGCTGGTCTCAAGTGCATTCTAAGGATCTTCTCAGACAGGGACTTCTTTTTAAAACTTTAACCCAGGTTATATTTTCCTGACTCCTGTCTACCTGCAGTTATTTTCCTAAACTAATACAGGAGTGCAGGAAATTAACTCGCGCTAGTGCCGGATTCTGTCTGAAACTTTGACTGCATAAGATTGGCCCCAAGGATACTTGCAAATGACCCATGTTGCCATGCTCTTGGATGAGCCTTTCACTCTAAAACCTTTTCTGTAGAGGGCATGAATGGCTCTTCAGTAAGTTTTCAACCTATGTGGTGCCCAGTTGATTTGATGTGTACTGGCATGCACGTGTTCCCAAGCAAAATAAAAGCAAACGCCTGGACAATGAGGGGCAGTAGCGTTGGAAAGGAGAATGCATATTGTGTGAGACAGTTGCTACAGGCCGGCTGTCCTGAACGGACTTCAGCAGTCCCTGCTCTCTACGAACTCCTAGGTCAAACTTGATAAGTCGGTTTTACTATATTTTAAAAATCCTTGTATCATAGAAAGTTAAGGTTCAGAGAAGATACATAAATTGACGAAAGCCACACAGCGAACTCAGACTTAAAACTCTGTAACAATATAATTTAAAACTTTTGTCTGCCCCCCTCCAGCCCCCCGGTATTGAACCCCTAGCCTTCACAATGAGCTCCATCCACAGCCCTTTTGATTTTACTTTTTTATTCCAACACAGAGTATTGCTAAATTACAAAGTTGCCTATCTTGGACTTGAATTTGCAATCCTTCTGTCTCACCCTCCCAGCTGGGATTATAGGCATCCACCACCATGGGCACTGCACTTTAAAATATTAATTAACATTTACAAATTTCCTCACATGAAGACAAACAAAATATATACTTCTTACAGGATAGGAACATTGTGCGGCTAGTTTACATGGCTTGGAAAAATAATTCTTGCACTCTTAAAAGCAAAATTTTGCTTCTGTTCACAAACGTTGTATAAAGTGATGAACAAGGCAATAGGGCAATAGCCATCTTCCCTCCTAGAATCATGGGATAAGTTAAGTTTGTGAACAGAGGCACCACTGTATTGTGTTGTAATAATTTAGGCGTAAGATATTGTTTGGTATATAGCAGCAGAAAATGAAATTCAAAAGTAAGCTGACCTAAAAATTAATCCCAGTCTAAAACTTTTAAGTGAGGTTGAACTGATTAGCACAAATCGATCAACTTCAAAAATAATTCTCTTGCAGTTTATTTGCTCTCTCAAACAAAGATAGTATTGTTTTTTTAAATAGAAAGATTCTTCTATACTAAAAATGTGTCTACTTCCAGAATATTTGCTGGCCAAACTTCTGATGATTTTTGACATCCAACTTCTCTAAAGAGCATAATGTAATAAAAATGTTCAAAATTAAAATGAAGCTGAAAATTTCTAGATTGTTCAACCTTTATCCAGAAGTTTCTTAAATATCACACAAACTCACCATTTCATGTTGCCCTGAAAATCCCAGTCACTTTCATAAGCCTTACAGAGACGTGTTGTTACCATGCTTTAAAAATCTCTAATAAAAATTGTCTGAGATGAATTATGGTAATTCTAATTAATTCAGTCTTCAAACTTTGCCAAGAACTTTTTTTGCCTACTATCTCATTTGATTCTTACAGGAATCTTGTGAAATTGGTTATTGTAAGTTTTTTTCTCATATTTTAATGATAAGAAAATGAAGAATTTAAAAGAAAAGCAAATGTGTGTCCTTGATCTTTAAAACTTCGTGGAAAATGTTCTCCTTTTCAGGCAATTTTTATGATTTTCTACTATGACTAATAGATAAGTTTACTCTGAGTCATATTGTAGTGGGAAAGGAAGCTAGATGGATATATAAACAAGACACTTTCTTCATTTTAAGTCTGCTCTAAAGAGTATAAACTGTGATTGTCAGTTAATGAAGGAAAAATTACTCTGAGCTGATAAGGAAATTACGATTTATACATGAAGTCATTTCTCCACTTAGATTCCCCCTAGACTATTCCTGACCTTGGTTATTAGTACTTACATGTGATAAGATAATTGTCCAAATGTTGATTTTGTGATTCTTACATAAATCTAATCACACATCTCCACTCAAATTTAGATTAAAATATGACCTCCCTACAACTTCTTGTATTGATTTAATTATCAGAAAAGAATAAATCCAAGGACATTAGTGTTAATTGTTTTAAATATAAACGAACAACAAGCTCCTAATAACAAATTGATCTTTCAGCAGCGGCATGGACCTAATACTATCACACAGACTTCTGCTGAATGCAAATAGATTCTCATACAGTATATGATAGATGCTTTTGTGTATGTCTATGGATGCTGAGTAGCTGAATTTACTACTTTTAAGAGAAACTGCACATTTTTGAGATCATCTTCATTTATATAGATTCATGAGTTTGAGACATGATGAAATTAAAAAAGAAAAGAACTCTAGACTGGATATCATAAAATTGAACTGTAGTCAAAATTCTGGCAGTAAGTACCTATATAACCCTGAGACATTTAAAGAGCTTCTACTTAATAATTTCATTGGAAATGTGAGGAAATTAAGCTACATTATCTCTAAGATTTCAGCCAACTATGAAAATATATTATCAGACTAATAATTTTTGATATTCTTTCTATCTAATTCAGAAATAATCAAGCAGGCAAAATGAAAAAGTTGAACAAAAATACACAATTTCACTACTCTCTTACCTTTTCATGGCCCTCACAATTCAATTGTTTTACTCTGTAAATAACATTATAGCAAAGGAATTTTGATTTTATAGTTCAAGTAATTTAAGAGTCAGCCACCGAGTTACTGATTTGAAATGGTACATGAGTAGATTAAAAATATTGCTAAGGTCAGTAACATTTTCTAAATATTTTTTAAACAGTTATAACATTTTCCTATAAAAGGACATAATTGTTTTATTACAACCAGATAGAATGCTTGGATGCTTAGCTTTTTTCTTTATTGTCATGGTCATTAAAAATTGAGAGGTAATTTAAATAAAATTATTAAGAATTAACTCAAAACTGGGAAGCATTCTTGAAGAA